ACCCAGATACCTTTCCGTGAATGAAGGGATCAAAAAAATGTGTTATATGGACTAAAAACTTAAAGAGAAACTTCTCTGAAGAGGAAAGAAGGACAGCCAATAGACACATGAAATGTTCAACCTCCCTCACCATAAAAGAAATGCAAATCAAAACAACATTAAGATACCACCTCACCCCAGTTAGAATGGCAAAAATCAAGAACTCTAATAACAACAGATGCTGGAGGGGATGTGGACAAAAGAGAACCTTACTTCATTGTTGGTGGGAAATGTAAACTTGTTCAACCACTTTGGAAAGTTGTATGGAGGTTCCTCAAAAGACTCCACATAGAACTCCACTATGACCCAGCAATCCCACTTTTGGGCATTTACCCAAATGCTTACAAACAAGACCACACTAAAGCTACCAGCACAACTATGTTTATTGCAGCATTATTTACTATAGCTAAGATATGGAACCAACCCAGATGCCCCTCAGTAGATGAATGGATCAAGAAAATGTGGTATATATACACAATGGAATTCTATGCCTCCATCAGAAAGAATGACATTGCCCCATTTGGAAATGGAAAGGCTTGGAAAAAATTATATTAAGTGAAGTAAGCCAAGCCCAAAGAAACATAGGTCCCATTGTTTCCCTTATTTGCAATATCTAGTATATGTCTGAGTCAAGCAGAAAAGGTCAGATAAGGGAAATGAACCCTAAGATATGTATTCAAATGTTTTTTTTTCTTTCATGCGATTGTTTCTAACTCATTTATAAGATAATTTCTTTGTTGCTTTGTATGTCCCTCCCCCACAGTATAACCTGTGCTTTCACTGTATTTGACATCGGTATAATTTGTGGAGGGGAAGGGGAAAAATAAGTCGTTTAAATAGGGATACAGGTGGACCCATTGCAACAATGAGATGTATAAGTCATGTTGAAAACAAACTTTACAACTTTGGTGGGGGGGGCGGGGAGGATTGGGTGGGGGAGTGGGGGAGGATGGGAAGGGATGGGAAGGGGAAACAAAGGAGGAGGCTACAATGCTTGATAAGAAATGTACTCATTATCTTGCCCATGTAATTGTAACCCCTCTGTACAGTATTTTCACAATAAAAAAATTAAAAATTAAAAAAATGTGTAATATATACACACTGGAATTCTATGCATCCATCAGAAAGAATGACATTTTCCCATTTGTAAAGAAGTGGAAAGACTTGGAAAAAATTATATTAATTGAAAAAAGCCAGACTTAAAGAAACATTGGCTACATGGTTTCCATCATTTGTAATAACTAATGTCTATAAATCTACAAATTAATCCAATGAGTAGTAAAAGACAAATAATTGCACGTGGATGTGATTCATTAAATAGCACTCTAAGCATTTGCACAGTGAGAACAAAGGAGTATATTCTTAGGAGAGACTCACAATGGCTCAATAGCTATGTGCATATGACCATATAAAATGATGCTTATTGAAGTGAACTCCAAGAAATAGAAATAAGATTTTTATTGTACTGTTTTCAGTTATTTATTTTTTTCTTTGCTTTATTCCCTGTTGTCACTGTTTTTGATTTCTGTACCCTTGTCTTGTTTAGGAGGGGAAGGAAAATCACAGAAATGGTGGGACAAAGGGTGAACCGATTCAACTGTGATACTCACTAGACACTATGTTGGAAATGAACTTTAAAACTTGCGGGGGAATCAGGGAGTCAGGAGGGGGAAAAGTGGGAGAAAATGAGGGAGGGGATAACAGTATTCAAAAAGAAATGTACTCATTACCTGACTTATGTAATTGTAATCCCTCTGTACATCACCTTTACAATAAAATTTAAACTTAAAATAAAAAAGAATGAAGTTTCATGAGTAATTCATTTAAGTTAAACCCTTCCCACCCCTCTTGAGAGTGATCATCTCAGAGATGTGGTTGTTCAAAAATAATGTCTCCTTGGTTCAAGAATAGGTTTTCACATATAAGTGTATTAAAATCTTTTCCAGAAGATACTCTCAAGAATTTAAGACATGTGTTACAGTCAGGTGCCAGAAGCTAACATCTGAATCCTTGCTACTCAGGAAGCTGAGATCTGAAGATCTTTGTTTAAAGCCAGCTCAGGCAGATAAATGCGTGAGACTCTTGACTCCAATTAGCCAGCAAAAAGTTAGAAGTTGAACTGTGTCTCCAGTGGTAGAGTGCCAGCATTGAGAGGGAAGTCAAGTGGGAGCATGAAGCCCTGAGTATAAGCCCCAGTAGCATATGCATATGCATGCAAAGGTTCTCAGGAGCGCGCGCACACACACACACACACACACACACACACACACACACACACACACACACAAACATACATACACTACCATGGCTAGTGTTACGTGTCCAATAGCCTTTCAATTATTTGCTTTACTTTCTTTTTATAATGCTTGTGTTTCTTTTGCTTGCACAGCAATGTACTTGAGGTACATTATGGTGTGCCCAAATTTGCTCCTTTCTCTAGTGGAGGTCACCTTTACTTCCTGGCTTAAGGTGCGGCCAATAACATAGATATCATTTTGTTGGAGATTCATTACCTGAACCTTTATTTTTTTACACAAGTCAACAGGATCTATTTATATCTTTAGTTTGTTTTTTACTGGTAAAAACTGGTTTATATTATTTACTCAATGAGTCTAAATCAGGGTTGTTTGGTACCTGAGGGATCACAAGCCGTCTCATTCTCTGGCAGGCCAGTGTTTCACTGCTGTCCTCTCTGTTAATGATATGGCACATGTGGACTGCTGATATTTCTGCTTGTGTTGCTACACTCAGCGTTTTCCTCATAAATGCAGAACTGGCTCATTTTAATGGTGACATAAACACAACTTGACATTGCTATCTGGGTGCCAGTGGTTCATGCTTGTATTCTAGTTACTTGAGAGGCTTAGTGCTGAGGATCAACCTCAGCAGAAAAGTTTGAGAGAATTCTCTCTCAGCCCTGAGTAGATATGATGGCACTTGGTTGTCATACTAGCTTCATGGCAGACTGAGAATGGAGCTTGGTTCTAGACCAGCTTGAGAAGGAAAACTGAAAATATTCCATCAGTGTGATAGACATTGTGTGTCTATCACACCAGTCATAATGGGAAACCTCAAAGAGACAGGTCAGGATCATGATTCAGGCTTGAGACCTTATCTCAGAATTAACCATCAAAACCTCCATCGGGCATTGGTGGCTCACACCTGTAATGCTAGCTACTCAGGAAGCTGAGGATTGTAGTTGGAAGCCATCCTGGGCACAAAATCCATGAGACTCTTCTCTTCAATTAACCAGCAAAAAGTGAGAAGTGGAGCTGTTGCTCAAGTTGTAGGGTGCTAGCCTTGAGCAAAACAGTTAAAGAACAATCTGAGGCCTTAAGCTCAAGTCCTATTGAAGTGAGGAAACCGGGTCTAAAAAATGTCACAGCCAGCTGGGTACTGGTGGCTCACTCCTGTAATCCTAGCTACTCAGGAGGCTGAGCTCTGAGGATCATGGTTTAAAGCCAGCCTGGGCAGAAAACTCTGTGAGACTTTTATCTCCAATCAACCACCAGAAAACTGGAAGTGGTGCTATAGCTCAAGTGATAGAGCACTTGCCTTGAGCTGTATTGCTGAGGGACAGCGGCTAGGCCCAGAGTTCAAGCCCCATGACCAACCAAAAAAAAAAAAAAAAATTCACAGTCATCTAGGCACCTGGCCAGGTGATGGGAGCTATTGTTTTCATAGCTTCCTGGTACCTAGCGAAGAAATGGGCACTGTCCACCCAGCTCCAAGGCCTACAGGTGAGACAAACCATCCTTTGAATTGCAGATGCCTGGCTCAATGGGTAGAGCCCAGGAGGCTTTGCTTTGGGGAGTATGTGGCTACATTGTGTTGTTTAGCCCAGGGGACCCTGCTCCTTGTCCTTTGCTGAGGCTTGGTCTCTGCTCATACATGTAAGTGTTGTCTTTATTTTGTTTAGGGCTGCTGGGCTTTGAGACAGGAATCTTCCATGCAGTCCCCAGCCTTTTAATAAATACTCTAAAATTCAACCTCTCAAAATGTGGCTTCTCTGTTTTCCTTGTGATTGGATTTGTATCTGATTTACATACAACACCAGTACTACCCTCCACCATCCCCCACAAAATTACCAGCATAAAATGATGCATGATAGCTCAACAGTATAGCACTTGCCTAGTAAGCTAGAAGCCTGGAGTTCAAATACCAGTTACACACACACACACACACACACACACACACACACACACACACACACACACTCGTTATCTTGATGATTATTGTAGCCTTTCCCTTAGTATATCTGAATGATACTAAGATAAATTCGAAGAACATTGCTATCCTGTTAATGTTGGCGGCCCACTGCACTGTTTTGCCTCCAACATTCTCTGTCACATACCCCATCCTAGAGAGGGCATGCCTACAACTTGGGCACACTGAGCCTTGGCAGCCCACTTTCTGGCCTTATAGCTCAAAGCAACAGGGCACACTCGCTTCTACTCTTTGGTCTAGCTGCAGTTAATTCTTATTATTAATAAATTCTATATTTGCAGTTTGCCTGCTTTCAGTGATTTGTTTGTAGCCCCAAGTCAATACATGTCCCACTTGATGTGGCCTTAAAGGTGGCTGCAACCATTTCATAACCAAGAGAGCATGGTCAAGAGAACTTACACATATCAGCTTAGACACAGTTGAACTGCTGAGCTTATGTCCAAAGATATTAACTTCCCATCTTGTGGTGTGAGAAAACCAGTCCTAATGGTTAGAATCAAAGGTTAGAATCAAAGTTAGGATTCTGTTACTTGCAACCAGAGTGTTCTTAAAGGAAAAGTGGACATAGATCCAAAGAGATCAATGCAACACAACTGTACATGAGAGGCAATGCTTTCTCTGGATTTTCTCAGAAGAGCTTTAGTGTTATGGTCTTTCTTGAGGTATAGAATCTCAGCTCCTACAAATACATTTCCTGCAAATATATCCACCGACTCTGATAAAAAGAGCAAGGAATCTTTATTAGCTGTGGTGAATATGCCCCACTCATCAGGTAGTGAAGTACAGCAACCATGCTCTATCACATTGTAGCTTATATAGAAAAGAGGCCGCAGGCAGGTGGCAGTGGACAGAAAGAGCCACACGCAGGTGGCTGGTATAGGTGACAAATAGCAATCTCCAATAAAACAAAGCATTAGGTCAAAAACAAAGACCATATTCTGGGTTTTCCCTTTGTTTAACAGATGTTTACCAAAACATGCTCCAAGCTTCCTACTTGGAAAAGTATCTTTTTCACCTCTCCCAAAACATCCTATTTATATAACACCTTTCACACCTCCATCCCCCAAACACATCCTATTTACTAAGTTTAAGGCCAATGTACCTGGCAGGTTTCTGGGTTTTTCCTGAGTTCTGCTACATTTCAGTAACCTGATGTTTAACATGTTTATCTTAACTTTGGGTCGTTACCTCTGGAATTTCCCTTTAATACTTTGCCCTATTTTTTAATAATTAATAATTTTGTTCTGTCTCTGATTTCACATTTTACAGGGAGCTGTGTGAATGGTGAGCCAGGAAAAGGTTGTTTATGCTCAGTTTCAAAGAAGGCCCAACATCTTAGTACCTCAGCACAATAAAGCAGGCGACAGAAAATCTGTCCCACAGTCTGTTTTGGAGAATAATACGACCTCATCAGTGTGGAAAGCCAAGAGATTGCCAAATGCCATTAGACTACTAGTTGATATTTAATTATAATGAAACACTCCATTTCTCAGTTGGTACCCAGATTAATCACCAGTCACAATTCATGTGCTGAACAGCCATACTTGGCTTGTGGCGGCTATAATGAATAGTGTAGCTGTGGAACACTTTCATCATTATAGAAAAGTTGATCAGATCACATTGGTTTATAAAAGAGGTGGCAGCTATGTAGTATGTCTTGGGCTTTGCAGGCCAAGAGGTCAATGTGAAAGTAACATGTGTTTGGAGGAGTTACCTGACTGTTATTATAGCTTAGAAGCAGATACAGTCTGGCATGGTGGTATCCTTAAGAGGTTGAGGCAGGAGGATCAAGAGTTCAAGGTTAGCTTAACCTCCAAGGGAACTTCCAGGTCAACTTGGGCTACATAGTGAATTCTAAACCAGTCCTAGGCTTATGTAAGGAGACACTGTCTCATTGCTTTGTATTCAGCTCTTATCCCAAAGCAGAAATATACTGTGAAGTGAGGAAATCAATGATTTGATTTCATGTGCATCAAAAGCAGTGGGGAACTGAAGTGAGGAAATGGAGTCGCAGCCATCCTGGTGCCTGGCTAGGTGATGGGAGCTGTTGTTTCCACAGGCATCCTGGTGTCTAACCAGGAGATGGGGAACTGTCCACCCAGCTCTAAGGCCTAGAGATAAGACATCCTTTGAATTACAGATGCCTGGCTCAATGCATAGAGCCAGGAGGGCTTGTGCTGTGTTTATATATAATACTTTGCTGAGGTTTGGTCTTCACCCAACATGTGGCCATTGTCTTTTAAAACTTTGTATAAGCTCTGTTCCTGGCTGCAGGTCTTTGTAATTGGCCAGCTGCAGACCGCTAGTGCTCCAATAAAGATTCCAAACTTCAACTCCTCAAATGTGGCTTCTCTATTTTTTCGCAGGACTGGATTTATATCTGATTTAAGGTATAATTATTGTACAATACTGTATGAACAAGGAAAGATGGCTGGCGCTGAGCCTGCTTGTTTACACTGTTTATGCGAGTTAGCTACTGAGATGTTGGACTTTCAGTATAACTTTTAATTTGACTAATATTTCTGTTTCAATGAGCTATTTAATGGAATGTACTTTTGACACTTAGAAAAAAACATTGTCAACGTATGCTTAGAATGAATGTAAACTTAGGTCTTACCATTTTATTCAATTTGGAAGTATTCTTGCTATAGTATGATTTCTTTCTCTCTCTTTCTCTCCCTCCCTCCCTTCCTCCCTCCCTCCCTCCCTTCCTTCCTTCCTTCCTTCTTTCCTTGCTTTCTGTTATTGAGGTTTGGACTCAGGGCTTTGTGCTTGCAAGGCAGTCATCCTACCATTTGAGAAACTTCCCTAGTCTTTTGATTTTTTGCTCTGGTTACTTCTCAGAAATAGCCTCAAATTTTTGCTCAGGCCAACCTGTACTATGATCTTTCTCAGCTAGGAATACAAGTGTGAACTACCCACCTTGCCTAATTTTATACTCTTAATAAATTAAAAATTCTTTGTATCTTATTCTTTCCTCAAGATGAATACTATTCTTCATGATAACTAAAGTGCCTAGTTAAACATTTTGAGAGCTTAATATGTAAAACTATTTTATAATCTGATTTAGACCCATTTGATTCCTTAGGTTTGCTGAATCATTAGCAAGGTTGCTGAAAGATTTGTCTGGGACCATGATTAGAGGGAAGAAGTTCTAAATATTAACTAGCTTTGTGATCTTTGGCAAATAATTTACGTGAGCCATATTTCCTAATTCTGTATGTTAAAGTCAGATGACAAGTTATCCAGAGTAGTCTCCCTGGCAGTTACACTTTTTATTAGATAATATCGCCCTCTGCTGGATACTTATTGTATACACGCAAAAAGTTTTCTCCCAATGCGCCTTTCTTGCTTTGCTTAGGTTAAATAGGTTAAATTAAACCAGCTACCAGCTCAGGTCTAATCCTTTTACATCTTGTGTCATGTCATGAACAGCAGTATTTCATTCATGATCAGTGAGACACAAGTGTAAAGAAAGAGTTTAAAATTTTTCACTTTTGTTGTTTTTATTAAAGTTATTAATAAGCCATACGATATCATAGAATTTTAATTAGAAAAGGCCTTTTATATCACAGAAAACATACAACTGCATACCACACACTTTCGATATATAATTACATTGAATATAAAACACATCTGAACACACCAATTTCAGGGCAGAAGTTGCTCTTGGGAGGAGGGGAAGGTAAATGGGATTGAGCAGGAGTGGGGCTTTACTAATATTCATTGTTAATTGTATTAATTGTTCATCAAAAAGAAGGAACTAATGGCAATGTGGAAAATCAACGTTTGTGGGGGCAAATATTGTAAAATAATTGATGTTCTCAAATAACTTTATTTCACATATGCTACTTGCAAATTTCTCTTACCTATCAATTATTATTATTTTTGGCACCAGTACTGGGGTTTGAACTCAGGATCTTGTGCTTTGGCTAGGATTTTACCACTCAAGACTGGTGTTCTACTATTTGAGCCACAGCTCTACTTCTAGCTTTGGTTAACTGGAGATAACAGTCTTATGGACTTTTCTGTCCAGGCTGGCTTCAATCTTCAGATCCCAGCTTCCAGAGTAGCAGGATTACAAGCATGAGTCGCCAGCTCCTGGCTTTTGTGAATGTTTTGAGCAGATCACATAGTTTTCATACCATTTTAGGCATAATTTGCTTTAAAAGTCCTTAAAGAATCCAGTGTGATCAACACAAAAACTTTAGTGTCACATTCAGCTCAAATCAGCCTCCCAGGGCTGGTCTTCCTCTTTGCTCTTCTGTAACCTGTCTGGGGCTGTTTCCTCCAGGGTGCTGAGGTGTGGGATGTTAGGCCTTTCTCCACCTGCTCAGTCTGCAGGTTGGGTATCTCTGGCAGTAGCAGGTACGCATAGTATGTGAGTGTACATCTGGGTTCCATGACCCCATCCTCTGCCTTTGCTTCTGGTGGCACACCACACAGACCTCTGCGCTGGACTCTTACGTGGAGTGGTTTTTGGATGTGGCCAGCTTGCTACCTTTTTGGAATCTCTCCTTGTGGTAGTAAACATACTTCCTCCAAATGAGAGGGAGGGCGATCAAAGCCTCCTCTCTCTACGTGGCCTGTAGGGTAGCTCTAGGCATCCTTTTCTTCCATTAGTTGGAGTTATCCAGATTCCATGGCTTTCACTTAAAATGAATTTGTTGATGGATCTGTTACCTATGAAAAGCTGGAAGGCTCAACACTTTTAGAGGGTCTCCAAAGGGATCTTCGCTGCCATTTTTTTTTGGGGGGGGAATATTTGGTTCTCTCCATTATAGCTAGGAGATTGTTGGGTATATCATGGTAGATCATGTTTTAGGTAATGCTCAGAAAGCATTTTATTTTTATTTTGATATTATATATATAAAATATACTGGCATATATAAATATATAAAACATAGATAGAAATAAAAAAAATATATTTACCAGTATAGGTGCTTGAATTTGGGGTTTCACACTTTCACTTAGCATTTTTGCTCAGCTTCTTTGCTCAAGGCTGGCACTCTACCAATTGAGCCAAGCCTCCACTTCTGACTTTTTGCTGGTTAATTGGGGATAAGAGTCTCAGGAATTTGTCCATGCTAGCTTTGAACTGGGATCATTAGAGCAGCACCTTAGGAGATGCTAAGCGTGCATTTTTCTTGATGTCTGTATTTCTTTTCTAGAGTGGGAAGACACAGAATGTCTTTTGTGTTACTTTTTGGTCACATGTGTGTGCCCTTATAAAAATGTCATTCCACAGTGGAGATCTCTGGCTAGAATCCTGTATCTGCAATTGCCGTCATGGCCAGTATGTCCTTGATCTTCAGAGCTGACTTCAACTTGAGCTTCCTTTCAGATGTTATCCTAGTTTACAGGGCAACTAATGTATTTGCAAAGTCTGACCTTGTTTTTGGTAGTGTTCATCATGTTCTTTTCTTCTTCTGGATAGAAATATTTCTTTTTCTTTCTTTCTTTTTTAATGTGCCATGTCCTGGGGCTTGAACTCAGGGCCTAGGTGTTATACCTGAGCTTTTTTCACACAAGGCTAGTGCTCTCCCACTTGATCCATAGTTCCATTTCTGGTATAGTTCATTGGAGATAAGAATCTCACAGGCTTTGTTGACCTGACTGGCTTTGAATCATGATTCTCAGATCTCAGCTTCTTGATTAGCTAAGATGACAGGTGTAAGCCACGGATGCCTGGCTAGAAATATTTCTGAAGATAATTTAAGAAGTTATGCTAATCTACCTCAGGGCAAACCCATCTACCACATATCTGCGAGCCCAACCTCCCAGATGCTCGGGTTTAGCTCTATTGAGTTGAAATCTGTTAGGTCACCTTCCTGGGGCACAGAAGTGTGGTGTTCACTGTTCTTTTGGATTTATATGTGTGTGAAGCGAAACCTATTTTTAGCTTAATTAATAGCAATAATACTATGACATTTTGTTTATTTTTGGTGGTTTAAGACTTGAACTTGGTCATTTGAGGTCAGCCAAGAGAATGGCTTAGGGCCCCAGCAGGGGAAGTGGCCTGAGGAGAGATGAATGAGGGGCTGGCTGGGGAGAGTTAAAAGCAGCGAGTCTATGCAAGGAAGCAGAAGGGGGTCTCTGAGGAGAAGAAAGGAGACCAGGAAAGCTGAAGAAATGGCAGAAAGTCTTTTGATGACATCATCTCTGCCTTTAAGGACAAAACTACTGCATCTAATAATACCTTATTAGTATTTAATACTTTATAATACTTTTCATGGTTTCCACAAGGAAGAGGGGAAAAAGAAACTTCAGCAGTTTCCTGGTGGATCTGTTGACCTTCAGAAAGAAGAAAGTGGCGTTGGAATACTGACTCTGAATAACCCCAGTAAAATGAATGCCTTCACAGGTGTTATGATGTTACAACTTCTGGAAAAAGTGATTGAATTGGAAAATTGGACAGAAGGCAAAGGCCTCCTTGTCCATGGGTCAAAAAATACTTCTCTTTAGGATCTGACTTGAATGCTATGAAAGCCCTAGGAACTTCTGAGCATGGAGTAGCCTTGTCAACGTTCATGCAAAGTACCTCAACAAGATTTACTAGACTACCTTTAATAAGTGTTGCACTAGTCCACTGTCGGGCATTGGGTGGAGGAGCAGGATTTACTACAGCTTGTGATTTCAGGTTAATGGCTGCAGAGAGTGAGATCAGATTTGTCCACAAGGAGATAGGTATAATTCCAAGTTGGCGTAGTTCTTCCCAGCTGGTTGAAATCACTGGTAGTAAACATGCTTTCAAAGTGTTAAGTGGAGCCCTCAAACTGGATTCCAAAAAAAAATCTTTAGACATAGGAATGGTTGAAGAGTTCTTGCAATCTTCAGAGGAAACTAAATCTCCAGAAGAGGCCCAAGAGTGGCTAATGCAGTTTACCAATGGGCCACCAGAAGTCATTAGAGCTATGAAAAATCTGTTTGTTCAGCAAAGAACTATATTTAGATGAGGCATTACAGAATGAGAGGATATCTTTGGAACAGTGTGGGGTGGACCTGCAAATTCAGAGACGATTGCTAGGAAAGGAAAATTTAATAAATAGCTTTTAAAAACATGGATGTACTACAAGTAAAGCTCTAAGGTTAAAATTACTTAATATGAACAGCAAAATTATTCTCAAGTCTAGTGCTCTTAGTTCTTTATAATTTTTTGAGTAACTGAATTTATTGGTCTTAGATTCTTACCAGCTTTTGACTAACACATATTAATTCCTGTATTCCTATAATAGCTCTTAGATCACTGTGAAAAGATGTTGTTCCTACACCTATTCTCAGATCACTGTGAAAAGATGTTTTTCCTACCCCTATTTGGGGGTTGTTCTTCATAAAATATTTGTTTCTTACCTGGAAATAATTTACAAAAGTAACAATAAAACTTTCAGTTGAAGAATGAAAGTGGGAGGGAACAGGACAGGAAAATAAGAAATGATATAATTTATCATTTTCTTCTGTTTCAATCAGCTAAGTAAACTTGCTTCTTCACTCCCTTCTACAAAATAAGTCTTGTTTATTTGATATTTCCAGTGTTTTCTATTAAATTGTCTACTAAAGAATGGTAGCAATGTCATGGAACACAGGCTGACTGTATAAACTGGCTATTCATGTAACTAGAATTTCCAATCTGAAAATTAATATATATATATATGACTTGAACTCATTTGGGGCCTTGATTTGCTAGGCAAGTGTTCTACCCCTTGAGCCATGCCCATAGTCCTGAAAGTACTTTTTGTGTGTGTGAGTGTATGTCTGTGTTGAAGAGTTTTGTGGCCTTTCCTGCTTAGGCTGGTTTCAAACATATATCCTTAGATTTCAGCCTTCTGCATAACCAGAATGATAGGTGTGAGCTACTGGCACCTGGCTCTGAAAGTATTCTTAAATGGCCTTGAGTTAAGGATAACTTTCTGCAACAGTGGTAGCTGAGATTTTACCTTTCAAGGAATAGCAATATACTTACACATAGTTCCAGATCATTAGTACACACATGTACAATAACACAAAGTTGTTGTGAAACTGAAAGCAGATTGCTGTAATTAGCTAATGATTTCGGCAATTCACCATCAAGTCTACTTGGAGTCTATTAGAAACAAACATGGAAGTCACTACATAACACAGAGCTTATTATCAATTTAAACTGAAGGTTAAACTTTGGGTCTGTTCTCCTGGGATTGTTTTCATGATCCCATCCATCCATCCATCCATCCATCCATCCTTCCATCCATTAGCACTACTCAGTGTCTGGCTTGTCTATCTTCATCCTTCCTTCCTTCCTTCCCTCCTTCCCTCCTTCCTTCTTCCTTCCTTCCTTCCTTCCTTCCTTCCTTCCTTCCTTCCTTCCTTCCTTCCTTCCTTCCTTCCTTCCTTCCTTCCTTCCTTCCTTCCTTCCTTTCTTTCCTCCTTCCTTCCTTCCTCTCTGTCTCTCTCTGTCTCTGTCTTTCTGTCTCTGTCTCTGTCTCTCTCTGTCTCTCTCTGTCTCTCTGTCTCTGTCTCTGTCTCTGTCTCTCTCTCACTTTTGTCAGTTGTGGGGCCTGAACTCTGGGCCTGGGCACTGTCCCTCAGCTCTTCAGCTTAAGGATAGTGCTCTACCACTTGAGCCACAGCGCCACTTCCAGCTTTCTCTGCTTGGGTGGTGCTGAGGAATCAAATCTAGGGCCTCATTCATGCAAGGCAAGCACTCTACCACCAAGCCGCCTTTCCAGCTCAACAGTCTTTTCTTGAGGTATTTCCCACCTAGGTATCAGCTTAATCAAACTAACCATGGCCAGCAATCTGCTAGCGAGAGATGGCTTCAAGTTTCTGGGTACTGTGTTAGGTCAATGATAAGAAGGGGTCTAAGTTGAGTGATGATTGAGAATACTTGTTAAGAATATGAGGTGTACCCAAGTGTAACAGATTTTTTTTTAATTTAACAAATGGTGGTTAATTGGAGTTAAGAATGTCATGGATTTTCCTGCCTGGGCTGGCTTTGAACCATCATCCTCAGATCTCAGCCTCATGTTTAGCTAGGATTACAAGCATAAGCCACCAGTGCCTGGGTATTTTTTTAAAATTAAGTAGTGAGATGGGGTATCCATTTCGCTTGCTACTTTAGTCCTTTGATTTCTATTCTGACAGAGCATCTGTGTCTTTTTGTTTGTAAACAAGTATGCCTGGCAGTGAGGAAATGAGTGTAGTATTGCCTAAGTGCACAGTAGATACACATGCATGTGTATGAGTGTGTATGTATGTGCTCACAAGAAACCCAGAGCTGCAGCTTGCCAATGAGGCTCACACAAATGCTTCTTTTATCTTTAGTGAACATTCAAAGAGGTCAAAGTTCAGGATAGATGTACAACAAAACTAACTCCCGTATTCTTTACTTTTTTATTTTTGGTAGTCTTGGGATTAGAACTCAGGACCTTGTGCGTGCTAAATTAGGTCTTTACCACTTCAGTGCCTCCAGCCTTACACTCATATTTTCAAATATAATCTTTTAAGATTTAAATTAAGATCATTCTGTGAAGTATAATTGTGTGAAGTTTAAGTATATGAGAGCAAATAGTTCACTGATGAGAGACTTCACATTTTGAAAATCCCAATCTCTTCTTAAGAGTAAGCATGTGGAATATGTGGGCATCTTACAGGAGTGGAGGGCTATGGGGTGGTGATGGGAGGGGGAGGGATGGTGGAATCAAGGAGAGAAAACACATCTGGCGGCTTAGGGAAGCCTTCAAAAACCACTGTCCCTGTGGTCAGAACACACTGGGCCAAGACAATCCTCAAGTTTGCTTCTTATAACTGAAATTACATTATTATTGTTATGTTATTAATATTATTATTAGTGTTGGAAGTAGAGCTTGAACTCAGGGCCTGGGCACTGTCCCAGAGCCTTTTCACTCAGGGCTGGTACTTCTATTACTTAAGCCACAGATCTATTTGATAGTTAATCGGAGATAAGAATTTCGTCCACTTTGCTGTCCTGGCTGGCTTCAAATTATGAGATCCTCAAATCTCAACCTCTTGAATAGTTAGGATTACAAATGTCAGCTCCCAGCTGCCAGCTGCCAGCTGCAAATATAATGATGAGCAATTTTGGCTTAGCTAAATAATGCTAGTTATTGTATTTAGAATTCTTTTTCTTGAATACTACCAAGATTACCACAAGTTACATACAAATTTCCCTCCTCTGGTCTCCTTGAACATCATTACTTTTCTGTTGACAAAACTCTAAATGTAAATATTTAGACTCAGACAGTGTTTTTTTTTTTTTTTTGCAGAGATGTATAAGATATTCACTTGAATGGAGATGAGAAAGGCCTTTCCTTCTCATTGCAGAGATGATCTCTCTGTTATGTACAGATCTACATTTCTAACAGATGTCTCTGTAGATGACTCTTACATTTATTACGTTCATGTTTGGAGGAGGAATGGGTTATAAATAAGGTCTTCCTCAAATCTCTAGGTGGATCTCAGTATATGGCCTTGCTTGGAAATAGAGTTTTCACAGATGCAATTAACTTATTAGGAACCTTGACTTAGAGAAGGCCTGAATCAGGCCTACATCTTCACAAGGGAAAATAAGGAGATTGGGCAGGGAGGGCTCATAGAGATGGGAAGACAAGGAGAGACTTGTGTGGTGGGGCCACAAACCAAAGAACAGTAAGGATTTCTGGGAGACTCTGGAAGTGGAAAGCAGCAACGAAGGATTTCTCCTTGTAATCTTTAGGAAGACCTTGCTCATACTTCGATATGGGACTGGAGTCGTCTAGAATTGTGAGCCACCAGCACTAGGCGTGGCTTTTTAATTTTTTTAAATATTTATTTATTTATTTTTGCTCAAGGCTAGCACTGTATTACTTGAGCCACAGTTGCTCTTCCAGTTTTTTGCTAGGTGAGTTGAAATAAGAATCTCATGGACTTTTCTTCCTGGGCTAACTTTGAACTGTGATCTTCAGATCTCAGCCTCCTGAGTAGCTATGATTACAGGCATGAGCCACCAGTCTCTGGCTCCTTCGTTGGGTTTTGATATTAAGAAGAGCTTGTGTATACATCTGTAGATCTCAGCACCATTTTATTCTTCAAAGTGAGATTTTAGGCAAGAAAAACATGTTTCTTTCAAAAGAAATACTGTTTCATATCACAATTCTAGCCCTGGGGGAAAAATTACCTCTCCTTCATCTTCCCAGAGATTTATTTTTTGCCAACCATGATGTTTTTCTCATTGCTGAACTTTCTTTTTTAAAATTTCATTTGCATGCTTTCGAAAGAACTTTACTGGGTCTTAGAAAAAAGTCTCCTAAGCTCCAGTTTATAAGCAAACCCTTTGAAACTGATAGACCTGTTTTAAATCTTGACTGTGCCAGTTCCAAGCTTTGTGGTCTTGGGATAGTTCATTAGCATTCCTAGTTCTTAGTTTTGCCATTTGCAAATTTGTTGCAATTATTAATGAAAATAATGCACGTAAAAACTTATAATACAATCACTAGTAGCTAAAGAATGCAACCTAGGCTACCCTGTTATTGCTATTATGATGAATAACCAATGATATAAGCAGCTGGACATAGAACTGTGGATTCATTATTACATTATGCCCTTCATCACCAAGTGGTTACATGAATTTGTGTGTTAAATACAGCTCAATACCAATATACTTTAAGTCTATATTGCTTAAAAATTATAATTAGGGGTACATACTAATTGTTAATAAATGGTTTTTGCTGTAACAATTCCATATGTAAATATAGTGTATACATATTGTGTTGTGGTTGTATCCACCTTCAAACTACCCTCTCTACTCTCTGCTTCTCATATCTCCATCCACTTTCCCTCCCTTGTAAGTCTTCTACTGCTTTCAGGCTGACTTTTAAAGTTAGTAATTTCACATATGAGAGAAAATCTGCAAAACTTGTCTTTTTGCATCTGGCTTATTTACTTAATACCCTCTAGATCTACCTATTTTCCTGAGAATGACATAATTTTACTCTTTTTTATGGCTAAACATTGTTCCATTGGAGATATCTCCAGTGGAGCATTATATATATATATACTTGTATATGTACACACACATATATGTATAGATAATATTTTCTTTATCCATTCATCTGCTGATGGACACATTGGCTGTTTTTATCACTTTGCTATTATGAATAGAATTATAATGAACATAGGTATTAAGGTATCTCATTTTTTCCTTTCTTTTAATTTTTATTGTAAAGATACTATACAAAAGGGTTACAGTTACATGAATAAGGTAATGAGTAATTTCCTATTGGGCATTGTTACCCCTTCTTTGTTTTTCCCCTACTATCCTTTCTCTCCCCCCTCCCTAACTGCCCCTTTTCCCACAAAGTTGTAAGGTTCATTTTCAACATAATGTCATGTACAACTCATTGTTACAATGTGTCAACCTGTATCCTTGTTTCAGCATTTTGTTATTTCGTTCCCCTCCCCAAATTAGAAAAAATGTATATACAAGATGCAGGGCACTGGATTCAAATACAGTGAAAACGGAGGTTGTACCATGGGGGAAGAACATATAAAAGAAACAAAAAAAATCACACAGTACATTATAAGTACATTAAAAACAACAGCAACAAAGATAAAAACCTCTTGTATCCCTGTCTTGGGGTTCATTTCTCTTAGGATCATCTTATATGGTCATATGTACATAACTTTTGACCTTTTCTGCTTGTCCTAGACTTATACTAGTTATTGCAGATAAGGGAAACCATGGGACCAATGTTTCTTTGGGCCTGGCTTACTTCACTTAATATGATTTTTTCCAAGTTTTTCCATTTCCTAAAAAAAGGGGCAGTGTCATTCTTTCTGATGGAGGCATGGAATTCCATTGTGTATATATACCACATTTTCTTGATCCATTCATCTACTGAGGGGCATCTGGGTTGGTTCCATATCTTAGCTATGGTAAATAATGCTGCAATAAACATAGTTGTGCTGGTAGCTTTAGTGTGATCTTGTTTGTAAACATTTGGGTAAATGCCCAAAAGTGGGATTGCTGGGTCATAGGGGAGCTCTATGTGAAGTCTTTTGAGGAACCTCCATACTGCTTTCCAAAGTGGTTGAACAAGTTTACACTCCCACCAACAATGAAGTAAGGTTCCCTTCTGTCCACATCCCCTCCAGCATCTGTTGTTGTTAGAGTTCTTGATTATAGCCATTCTAACTGGGGTGAGGTGGTATCTCAATGTTGTTTTGATTTGCATTTCTTTTATGGCTCTAGAAGTTGAGCATTTCTTCATGTGTCTATTGGCCATTCTTATTTCCTTTAAGTCTTATTTTCATTTCTTATTTCCTTTAGTCTTATTTCCATTTCTTACTTCCTTTAAGTCTTATTTTCCTTTAGGTCTTTAGCCCACTTTTTTTTGGGCAGTTGTTTCTTCGAGGATTTGTTGTTGGGGGATTTAATTTTTTGAGTTCTACATATATTTTAGATATGAGGCCCTTGTCCTATAGCTGGTGAAGATCTTCTCCCAGTCCATGGGCTTTCTATTGATCATGTAGAAGCTCTGCAGTTTCATGCAGTCCCATTTGATTTGTTGTGTTTCTGGTTCTTTATTAAGAAAATTTCTGCCCAAGCCCTATAGTTCCTTCTGAATGCCTTCCTGTAATGTTTTTAGTGTGTCTGCTTTGACTTTGGGGTCTTTGATCCATTTGGGGTTGATTCTAGTGCAGGGTGAAATATAAGGATCTAGCTTTAGTTTTATACAGGTGTTTAACCAATTTTTTTTTTGTAATGGGCGAAGTAGCTTTATTACAGAAAGCCAAGATTACATAAGACTTAAGAGTTTGCATTGCGGTCCTTCTTGTTGCCAAAGGTGAGCACAACATTGACAAAGCATGGGTTGTACTGCATCCACCCCTTGGCCAGGCCAGTCTTCTTCTTCTTCTGTTTGGCCACCTTGGGAGTCTGACTTCTCACTTTTCCATCATGGGCCAAGGATCCATGGACTTTACCTCTAGGTAGGCGGCCGACTATCTGCAGGGTAGCCAGGGCCTCCACCCCACACTGGCCGAGGGTAGCATCATCCTCCAGTGGCATGCCTGCCAGGAGCAGGACCTGATCTTCCAGGACGATACCCTCCAGGGAGGGGACACGAGCCTTGATCTGAGCGATCTTCTCCTGGCCGGTCACCTCAAGGGTGCGGAGCTCCTGGGCGCGGACAAATAGCTGCGACAGAACCACGGGATCAGCGGCCGCTACCGTGAAGATGGAGTCGAGAAAGAGCTTAACAATTTTGCCAGCACCATTACTGAACAGGCTGTCTTTCTTCCATTCTATTTATTTAGCTCCCTTATCGAAGATTAGGTGGCTATAGGTCTGAGGGTTCATTTCTGTGTCTTCAGTTCTATTCCATTGGTCCTAAGGTCTGTTCTTGTGCCAGTACCAGTACCAAGCTGTTTTGATTACTATGGATGTATTTCATTTTTATACTGACTTTGCTTCCAGGGTACATACCCTGAGTGAGATAGCTAGATCATATGATGGGTCATTTTAGATGTTTATAAAACTATTTTCCACAGTGGATGAATAGTGATTCTCATTTATATTCCCACCAATCATGTAGAAATATTCCTTTTTCATAACATCCTTGCTAGCAATTACATGTTGAGAAAGCCATTCGCATAGTAGTGAGATGGAACCTTAGTGTAGTATTTATTATTTATTTATATTATGGAGGATTGAATTGGAAGTCTTGTGCTTGTTAAGCAAGCTTTCTATCATTTGAGCCATGCTTCAGTCCTTTTGCACTGAAGATTCTGATTCTTCTATCTCACCACTGTGCTTGGCTTGTTTTCAAAATAGGATCTTTCTGTTATTTGCAGTCTGGCCTAGGACCATGATCCTCCTATCTCTATCTCCCAAGAATGCTGTTTTGACTTGTATTTCTTTGATGGCTCAGTGGACAAATAGTGAGAACAAGAACAAGAAATAACTTCTGCTGCTTTGGGCTACCAAAATTTTAGAATTGTTTTATTATCTAACCAATCATGACTGTTACCTAATGCTTTTTATGGCACTTATTTGGGAAGGGAGAATGTCTTTAAAGGGCATGATTAATTGAATTAATAAATTTATGAATAATATAAATGATCTCCAGAAACCTCAGCAAATAGATATATTTTTATACACTTAACACATTGAAAGTATTATATTCCATGATCAAATTGATTACATTCCAGAATGCAAGGATGGTTCAATATATGGAAACCATAAACTTAACAGAGCTCATAAATAAAGTCAACGGTAAAAGCTACACTATTATCTCAAGAGATAGAGAAGAAACTTAGAATAGAAGAATGACTCAGAGGAAGGTGCTTAAGTTGGAATAGTTTTCACAGATGTTGATGATTCAGTTATAAACTTAATGTTTTTATTTAAAAATTTAAGAAATTACAATCAAATATCCATAGCAAAATTTTCTATCTTATCCATTGTTAATTATCCAGTTCAATGGCTTTAAATGTATTTCCATTGTTGTGCAGCCATCAGTACTATCCATCTGTACAGTTCTTTTCATTTTGAAAGGTTGGAACTCTTGTACCCATTAAAGAACTCCCTATTTCCCCAAATCTCCAGCCCCTGGCAGCTACCATGCTATACTTTTTCTCTATGGGATTTTTTTTTTATTATGGTGGATAGTATTCCATTGCCTGAAGAGACCACAAATATTGATGGACATTTGGGTTGTTTCCATTTATGAGTCAAGAGAGGTCTTCTGTTTCAGCCCACTCTCTTCCTTCCTTCCTTCCTTCCTTCTTCTCCCTCCTTCTCCCCTCTCTCTTATTTCTTAACATATACCATATACAGAATTGCTGGAAGTGAATATTGAAATCCAAGAGATCAGAGGTTCAACAGTCAGTCCATTTGAAAAGAGTGTGCAAACAGGGAAAGGAGCCAAAGCCTAGTCTAGTAAGTGAGAGGGAAGTGAGGATTGGGAACAGCAGTATGCTGTAGTTGGAAGACCAAATGGTGCAGGAACTTTGGAACAAGACTGGGGCCAGAAGAGTGGAGGGTAAGGAGGTTGGCTTTGATCCCATAGCTCTCAGGAGATTCCCTTAATGACAACTGAGCCCATGGCTTGGAAGGTCCATGGAGAGACCTTCCAAAGGAGCTTAAATAAGATTTCCTCAACCAATCCATTCCAAATAAGTTAAAAAGTCTCTAGCATATTGTTGATATATAAAACATTATCTAATAATATAAATAGCATTTAAGTAATTTAAATAAGAGAAAAGAAAATACTTATTGTCTTTACAAACTGAATTTCCTTGATGCCTCAAATAGTCTTTTTGGCTCTTTCTCCAATTAAATAAATGTAATATTAAGCAGCTCTTGTCATAAGTGTCCAAATTGCTTTATTTAAGTGGCCACTTTTATATCCTTTTCTTTTGCTGCCAGAGAGAAATTTAATACACTCAAACAGATGAAGGTAAATAAAAATTTCTAAGAGCTGTTAACTTTGGACAGCTAGTACATAACAGCCCCATGCCAGCTCTGCTCACCCAGAGCTTCTTAAAACTCATGTTGGAGAAAGTCATTAAAATACTTGCAAAGGCAAAAAATGTGCTGTGGAAATGGAAGTGTACCAGTGCTTTATTAAGAGCCAAATGTAGTGAAAAGAAAAACACTTCTTTAAAAACAAAAACAAAAAAACCCCAAATAGACCCGCTAAACGTATATTTCAGGTGCTTGTAAAATTCACTTGATTGAGAGAGAGAGAAACAGTAAGAAGGGGAGAGAGGAGAGAAAGAGAGAGAGAGAGAGCGGAGAGAGAGAGAGAGAGAGAGAGAGAGAGAGAGAGAGAGAGGCCAAGAACATTCTGGTTGTTATTCAGAAACTGTGTTGTCTTTGGACTTCTTCAAGTAGAGAATTTGTTGGATCTACTGAACCGACTCCTTTCAGGGTCTTTCAGTGTTAAAGGAAAATGTCAGAATTTTTATCAAAATAGACTTAAATAAAGAGCCTCTTCCAAGTAAACTGACAAAGGGTGTGTTTTATGATTTAACCCCCAAATGACTGCTTTGAATGAGTGTAGCAGAATCATGGAGAAAACCATGCCTTGTCTTCCCCAAACTTTCAGCACTTTAGTGGAGGTGAAATTAAGTCTCATGTGCATTAAAACAAGATGATGGAGAGAAAAAAGACACCAAGTAAGCATGGATTTATTTGGAATTTCTATTTGGATGATGGTAGTTGTGATTTAATAGGCTGGGTCGTGTGTGTGTGTGTGCGCGCGCGCGCGCGCGCGCGTGCTGGAGGGACTTCAACTCAGGGTCTGATCATTATCAAAGGATATTATTGTCAAGGTCAGTGCTCTGCCACTTGAGCCATAGCTTTACTTCTTCTTTCTTCTTCTTTCTTCTTCTTCTTCTTCTTCTTCTTCTTCTTCTTCTTCTTCTTCTTCTTCTTCTTCTTCTTCTTCTTCTTCTTCTTCTTCTTCTTCTTCTTCTTCTTCTTCTTCTTCTTCTTTCTTCCTTCTTCTTCTTCTTCTTTCTTCCTTCTTCTTCTTCTTCTTCTTCTTCTTCTTCTTCTTCTTCTTCTTCTTCTTCTTCTTCTTCTTCTTCTTCTTCTTCTTCTTCTTCTCCTTCTTTCTTCTTCTTCTTCTTCTTCTTCTTCTTCTTCTTCTTCTTCTTCTTCTTCTTCTTCTTCTTCTTCTTCTTCTTCTTCTTCTTCTTCTTCTTCTTCTTCTTCTTCTTCTTCTTCTCCTTCTCCTCCTCCTCCTTCTCCTTCTCCTTCTCCTTCTCCTTCTCCTTCTCCTTCTCCTTCTCCTTCTTCTTCTTCTTCCTCTTCTTCTTCTTCTTCTTTCTTCTTCTGGTAATTGGAGATAAGAGACTCTTGGACCTTCCTGCCCTGGGTTGGTTTTGAACAGGGTAGGAAAGTCTATGCAGATGTGGCTCAAATGGTAGAGAGACAGGGTTGAGAGAAAACTCTAAGGGACAGCACCCAGGCCCAGAGTTCAAACCCTAATGCACACAGGAGCGTATGTGTACATGTGCACACAATGCATGCATGTACACACACACACACACACACACACACACACACACACACACACACACACACGGAGACCAGCAGGTGGAAAGCGTGGGAGTGTGACAATGTGAGCCTCAAAAGGAAGTGGGTAGGGTCATTGAAGAGTCAAGTTGGAGCCAGGAATGAGGAGTGGGTTGAAGCTTTCAGAAATGAGAGAAAAAAGGCAGAGCAGGATGACCTCCCAGAGGACCCAGCGTGAGGTCCACGTTGGTCTGTAGGCAGTACCAGGACAGTGGTTATAAAGAATAAACCCCCCTACGTGGGGTAGGGTGGGGAGGAGAATGGAGAGGACGTGGAGTCTGGATTGCAGTTAGGATGCTGAGGTGCTCTGGCGCTTGGTGAGCGATGAAGGAGCTGGGCTGCTACCACAGTCAGAGAGTGCGGAGCAGGACTGGAAATGTCGTCAGAGGTAGAATTAATGGGATTTTCCTCAACAGAGACATAGACTACAGTGTATGACAAAGTGCTGCTCAGGTGACTCTAATTGTACTAAGAGAAGGCTAGGAGGATGGAGTGGTCATTTCCAGATGTTTTTGGCCTGGATGTAGCAACTAACTGGCTGAGAGATCTTAAAGTTTCCTACCTACCATCTGCCTCAGGTGCTTGATTTGTAACAAGGAGCTACCAAAGGCTTGCCATGAGAATTAAATACTTTGCAATTTGTCAAACCTTAAATGAGTGTGTTTATTTTATTTTGCTATATTGGTACTTCGTTTATTTTTCTTGTGCTGGTACTTTGGCTTGAACTTAGGCCTTGTGCCCTTTTTTATCTGCTCAAGGCTAGTGCTGTACCACTTGAGCCACAGCTCTACTTCTGGCTTTTTGGTGATTAACTAGAGATCTCACTGACTTTCTTACCTAGACTGGCTTCAAACCTCAATCCTCAGATCTCTGCCTTCTAAGTAGCTAAGGTTACAGGCGTGAGCCATCAGTGTCTAGGAAGTGTGTGATCCAATAGCAGAATAAGGGTATAATATTGCAGTTCCCATTTCTAAGATGAGGATAAAATTGTAGAGTAGAGTCACAGTTAAGCACTAGAAGGATGTTGGAGTCTAGGAAGCTGAGGAACACAGTTTAGGGGATGATGTCCATATAAAGAACTCTGATAATGAAGTTGTGCCTGCTATATAAAATTATACAAAGAAGAAGCAAGAAGCTCAGTAGATAGATGTGTGTGGACCCATTAGCAGATAACACACTTTACAAAAGGTCAGTGTGTGTGTGTGTGTGTGTGTGTGTGTGTGTGTGTGTGTGGTATGCAGGGAGTAGGGCTTGAACTCAGGACCAGGGTGCTGTCCCTTAGCTTTGTTTACTCCAGGCTAGCACTTTACCACTTGAGTCACAGCTTCACTTCCAGTGTTTTGGTGGTTAAGAGTCTCACAAAGTTTCCTGCCTGGTCTGGCTTCAATTGCAATCCACAGCTATTAGCTTCCTTAGCCAGGATTACAGGTGTGAGCCACTGGCACAAAGCCCTGTGACCTCATTTTGATGCCAGGATTTGGTCAACTGCTGGGCAACAGGTGGGTAGGAGGAGTGAGAGAATGTTGAAGAGGGTTACACCGATCAAGATTAGAAACTACTTTGTTCTATGGCACTAGATTAAGATAAAGAAAAAAAGACATAGGTATCATGGCAGGTTCACACCCAGCAATTCGATCTCTCTGCTGGGCAGTTGCTTTTCATGTGTCCATTGTTCAACCTGGCCCTCAGAAGCTCCTGCCAGCATTTGGATCTCACTCTGTGTCCCTTCCTCTGGAAAGCCCCTCATGGCACTGTATGCTGTCCCCTCATGCCTCTGTCATCATGGGGAATCATTTGTATGGTGCTTGTCTTTCTCCTTTACACAACGAGCTCTGTTAAGGACAGGTGTTTTATGTTTAACAACCTATCCTTGGTATTTCTCTGGTGTCAGAACAGCAGGGTGCTTACCACATATTTACTCAGAACAATAAAAATTTGGTTGACCTGTATGCCTAAGAAAATAAAGGGTGACTGAACCTGTAGGAATTCTTCAGCGAGTGAGCTATCAACATAGGCTGGATGGTGGTTTTCAGATCATGATTGATTTTCTATGATATGTCTGGCTGGTCATGGAGTGTCTTCTTCAGACTCAAGCCTTTGGCAGCATGCCAAGTGACACAGAATTGGGATTGTTGTCTTGGGTCCTATCCTACGGTGGTTCCAGAGGGACCGCTTCAGATTGCTAGTGTATTGGTCTTTATCTAGGAGTGGGAATATTAAAAATTGTGGAAAGGGCTGATCCTCTACTTTCACTCCTATAGTTTTTGTCTCACCCCATTAGGAGTGGAGAACAAGACTGTGGAGATGTCATCAGATCTACTGTAGCAGGCTGTATTGAATGATACACATAATAAGGGGAGAAATTGGAGACTCTCTTTGCTGCACTGTGTGTTGTTGAGGAAATGAAGAATGTTGCATTCAAAACTTCATTTCCCCTCTGAACTATAAGGGATTTCCAGCATCAAAGGACTTGAGGCTGGGATTTCCACCTCATGGAAAGATGCATCCTGCAAACTGAGCCAGCAGGAGGCGCTGCTGCCCTTCCTAAAAAATCATTTTGTTTTTCACCTGATGACAATGACATCTGGATTGTGAACCAAAGATGATCAAGTCTGATGTTTATGACACTCCAATGATGAATCTGCAAAGAGGAAGTTTTATGAGGGTATAATTTATATGCTTCCTTTGAAAGTCACATAAATCTAGTTTGTTTAAGCAATTTGTTTGCCATGTAAAATTGTGCACATTTAGTCTGGGAAAATCACCTTGCAAAGAAAGCATGACCTGAACCTTGGAACACTTGATTTAATGTGATCCAAATTCACATGGCAGTTTAGGGTCATCTGTGCTCTTAAGGGTTGTAGGAACTTGGATGGGATTTCTCAGTGAATGCAGAAACAAATATGGGAGGATGAAAGATGATTATGATAAATGAGTGAAGGAGGTTTTTTGATAATGTGTACACTGAATGTCTGAATCCGATTTTAGCTCAAGTGAGGACTTCAGGGAGAGGAGGGGAGAGAGAGAGAGAGAGAGAGAGAGAGAGAGAGAGAGAGAGACAGAGAGAGAGACAGAGACAGAGAGAGACAGAGAAAGAGAGAGACAGAGAAAGAGAGAGACAGAGAAAGAGAGAGACAGAGAAAGAGAAAGAGAGAGAGAGAGAAAAAAACATAGAGCCAGCAGGAAGTTTAGAACACAATTAGGTTGTCTAATTCTCTGGGATTCTTTCCTAGATTTGATTGGTCATATTTTTTTTGTCAGTGCTGTGGCTTGAACTAAGGGCCTGGGTACTATCCTTTAGCATTTTTGCTCCGTGCTGGTGATCTACCACTCCTAGCACTCTTGCCATACTGCCACTCTTGCTTTTTGCTGGTTAACTGGAGATAAGAGTGTTGTAGATGTCCATGCCTATGTTGGCTTTGAACCATAACCTCAGCTTTTCCAGTCGCTAGAATTACAGGCATAACCCAACTGGGCCTCAGTTTTTGAAAGTCAGCAACAGCTTTTCCTTTTCTCCCTGGGTTCTTACCCCAGGGTGCAACTACAAAGAAATGAGTCAGAGTTCAAGTTCCCCTCAAGGTGATGCCATTGTAAACTGGAGCAAATGGTCAATAGCTCCAGGCCTTTTTGCTTTTCTTACTGGAATGGAAGGACATAGCCTCCCCTAATGGGAAGCTCAAGGCTTAGCCCTAGGGTCTCTCTGGGGGAAGGCTGGAGGAAAAGTTCTCCAGCTCTTAACACCATCAATGGCCTTGATCAGCACTGCTGACAACCCTGCCTGTGTCTCTGTCACTCTCAAGACGTTTGCCCTTTCAGGGTGGCAATATGCCCATAAATGGCAGAGCTGATGGTTTATTAACCACTCTGAAGATGAATGACAGGACTGGGAGGAAAGCTATGCTGACAAAGTGTTCCTCCTTCCTGCTCCTTCCTGACTGGGCTTTCTGGCCACAAACACTTCCTGGATAACATTATTCTTAGTAACTGTCTATTCCCAGGACCACTTCTCACAACTCACATTCTTTCATATTAGTGAAGGAACAAGCAATTTACTTCTTGTTAGTCTAGCCTAATGGAAGAAGCATTTTGTTAGAAGTTAGCCCTGCAAACCTTAGGGCTCGACTGGCAGTTTGATGTGAGATCGATGGGGGTCATTGTTTAAAATAGGATGGGAAGCTAGGTGCTAGATGCTCTTGCTTATAATCCTAGCTACTCAGGAGGCTGAGATCTGAGAATTGTAGTTGAAAACCAGTCAGAGCAGACAAAGCAGAGTCTTTTTTTTTTTAAAAAATGTTTTTTTATTGTAAAAATAGTGTACAGAGGGGTTACAGTTACATGAGTAAGGTAATGAGTCCATTTCCAATCCAGCAGTTACTCCCTCCTTTGTTTCCCCCCTACCATCCCTTTCCTTCCCACCTCCCCAAATCCCCCCTCCCCCTCCAAGTCCCCCCAAGTTGTAAAGTTTGTTTTCTACATAGTGTCTTGTACATCTCATTGTTACAATGGGTCAATCTGTATCCTTGTTTCAGCATTTTGTTCAAACCAGAGTCTTTTATCTTTGATTAAGTAGCCAAAAATCTAGAAGTGGAGTCTATCTCAAATGGGAGAGCAACGGACAGTTTTGAGTGAAAAAGCCAAGTGAAAGTGTGAGGCCCTGAGTTCAAGCCCCAGTACTGGCACAAACAAAAACAAATGAGGAGGATAGAAGAGGGACAACTAGTTCATATCAGATGTCACATATAGCCTCCCTAACAGATCCGAGAATCTTTTTTCCTTGTAAAGCATGAAACATTCCAAAGCTCTTTGCAATTCCTTGCAGGAATTTGCCTCACTAGCCTCTTAGAAGCCAAAGAGCTGTGAGGAGGGTTCATCTGGGGACTGAGGGAGCCCTGGGCTTCGCGGGCCTTGCACCTGTGCTCAGCCTATTGGCTGGAGGACCAGTGCTAGGCAACACTACAATCATCAGCGGCAGGCAGATGATGAGAGACGGTGACCCTGCGAGGAGCTGGTGGGATTCATTAATGGGGCGGGGCCTATGCAAATTAACCAGGCCAAGTCGGCTGCTGGCAAAGAGCTGGCTTTGGAACACTTTGTAAGGCTTCGTGGAGGTCTTTCAAAACAGGCTGGGTCCCCATGTGTCCGGAGGGTTAGTGGGAGGTCTTCCCAGCGGCTTGGGTGTGGATTTGATGAACTCTCAAAGTCTGTTCAGCATTCTGATTCTGTGGTCAAGATTAGACAGACACATGTGGCTGCAGATGAAGCACAATGGAAATCCAGTGGAAAGCTTTGTCTTCTCTATCTTGACTTCCTGCCTGTGTCCAAATGGGAGATAAGATGTTGTTTGCAATTCGATTAATTGTTCCTGCCCTGCCTCTCTTTCACATGCTGAGTCTATCATTCCTTCTCTTCATCTTGCCCTTAGCTTTCTCCTTTCCTATAGAAACTTTATTTTGAATCTCTCTTAAAAACTTAAAGCAAGGTGGCTGGGAAGGTGGCTTAGTGGTAAAGTGCTTGCCTGGCATGCATGAAGCCCTGGGTTCGATTCCTCAGTACAACATAAACAGAAAAAGCCGGAAGTGGTGCTGTGGCTCAAGTGATAGAGTGCTAGCGTTGAACAAAAGAAGCTCAGGAACAGTGCCCAAACCCTGAATTCAAGCTCCAGGACTGGCAACCTCCTTTCTCCACTAAAAACCCCCCAAACAAAACAAAAAAGAGCCAAAGCAACAATGAAAAAAAATAAAGCAAGGGTAGTTTATACCTGTAATTTTAGCTACTCAGGAAACTGAGACCTGAGGTACCTGGTTTGAGAACAGCCTCAAGAGGAAAGTCTATGAGACTTTTGTCTCCAATTACACACACACACACACACACACACACACACACCACTATCTGGAAGAGGAGTTGTGGTTCAAGTAGTAGGGCACCAGTCTTGAGTGAAAAAGCTAAGGGACACTGCCCAGGTCCTGAGTTCAGGACCCAGTACAGACAAACAGACATATAGACAGACAGTAACACACACACACACACACACACACACACACACGACAACAAAACAAACAAAAATCTTAAAGCAAAGGGCCTGGGAGAACATACCATTACACCATTCATTTTAAAGTATTATAATTTATTCATTTAGCCTCCCTTCAATACCACCAAAATAGTTTGTTTTTTCCATGTGAGAAATAGCAACCGTTCAAATAAGTTGATGCTAAGTGAAATGAACCCCAAGATATGGACACAAGAGGTCTGTCCTTATTGTAACTGTTTTAAATGTACTATGTGATGTTATTATTTTGTTGTTGTTGTTTCCTTTGTATGTTCTTGCTTCTATGTCATATCCCTGTGGTCACTGTACTTGATTTTGATATCCTGGATCTTGTATATACATATGTCTAATTTGGGGAGGGGAAGGGGAATAACAAAATGCTGGAACAAGGACACAGGATGACCCATTGCAATGAAGATACCCACTGGACACTATATTGGAAACAAACTTTACAACTTCGGGTGGTGAGGAGGGAGGGGAGATAGGAGTGTGGGAGGTGGGGGAGGGAAGGGATAGTGGGACAGCAACAAGGAAGGGAAGGGGTAGCAATGATCGACAAGTGATGTACTCACTGCCTCACTCATGCAGCTGTGACCCTTCCCTAAAACATCGTAACAATAAAATAAAAATAAAAATAAATAAATTTAAAAAGTCCAACAAGTATTCTACAGAAAACTGTCTCTCTTTGTAGGTGCTTTTTGCTCAAAGAAAGAATCGTGTGGTTTGATAAAATATGTTGGAGAACGCAAGGAGGTTCTTTTGAAGGTTTTGTGCATCACAACCCCTCTTGAGATGTGAGTTTACTCAAGAGAAGAAAGGTGAACTATATTTGTTCCAAACAAAACACACTTTGGTATTATTCACCATTGCACCCCTCTTCCATCAGAAACAAATTCTGACCTCGTTCTTCTGATGTGAAGCCAGAGGGAATGTGAAATATAGCACGAAGAACAGTCTGACATCAATGCAGAGACAAGAACACTCCAAGCAACAGAAACACAGTGTCAAATGGAGTAGAGAAGGACCCCAAGTTGGTTTCTCTAATTTCTTCTTAAAGGCTGATCTTGGAGATAAGTAATTCAATAATTACCTCAGGCTCTTTGGAAAAATTGCCTACAATATTTCAGAGTGCCAGTTGAATTTTCCTTCCCTAGGATCTATTTCTTAGAATTCAATTTCTTTCTCTTGGCCTTAAGCACTTACTCTCTCTCTCTCTCTCTCTCTCTCTCTCTCTCTCTTTCTCTCTCCCTCCTTCCCTCCCTCCCTTTCTTTTTTGGTTGGTT